TCGGCGGCATTCGGCTATTCTCTCACTGCTGTTCGGGATCTTTCAGAATAGCCCGAACAGCAGTGTGAAGCCTGCCGGAGGTTCGGCTCAGCCGATCCAGATGTTGGATCGGCTGAGTCGAACTCCTTCTGCACTTCAGGTCAGCCGAACATGCTAAGCATGTTCGGCTGATCCGAAGCCACACGAAGCAAGCCGATGTACGGCTGATTTCAGCCGATGTAGGGCTGACACCAGCCGTACCAGCCAGAAGTGAATAGCCGAACAGTGTTCGGCTCACTTCGCTTCTGATCGGTCATTCACTCGGCTGCCCTCGGCAGCTTTGTGAATAGACCCCTTATTCTCTATGCTTAGCAGCTCCATCTAGTGGCCATAATGCTGTATTACATCACAGTACTTTCAATCTGAAAAGAAAACACTAGGGGAATTTATCAAAACTGGAGCAGACAAAATCTGGTGCTCGCCAACCAATCAGCTTCTCTCTTCCATATTCAAAGCTTAACTGAACAAACTGAAGAGTGAAACTGATTAGTTGCCATGGGCAACTGCTCCAGATTTTGTCTGCTCCAGTTTTGATAAATTCCCCTCTGTGACCGTTGATTTTTGCCATTATTCACACAAAACAAATGTTCACATATTTGCAAAGCGAAGGGCCCTGCACATTGTTTATAAATTAACCCCTTTGTGTCCAGTTTTCATTAAATGTAAAGGGAATGTATAGTTTTCTAAGTGTTTTGTTGGGATGACGGGTGTCACTGTCGCTCTGATGAAGGATCCCTGTGCGGACCCAAAACGTTAGCACCGTATGACAGTATGTGACATTGGGTATTGAATAAACATATCAATACTTTAAAAACCCTTCAAGTGTGTGCCGGTGAATTACTTTTATTTACTATTGTTGGGATGAACACATTACATAAATCACCTCTATGTGACTAATCTTGTGACTAATCAGCGTGCATTAAAATGTTTCTATGTAATATTCATTATTCTATACAGTATAACCTGGGGTCAGCCATATTTACTCATTGCATATGGCAACATTTCTTTCGGCCTTGCAGTGCTACACAAAGCTTGTACTTTGACAATCCTTCTCACAATGCAAGTCTATGAGTCGTGTTGTTGAAAACATTACCCTCCATTGCATAATATCTTGTCTCAACAGCTTACTGAGAATGCCATTTAGAGCGTTCTGAACAACCAGTGCTGTTACAAATGGGCAAAGCCTGATGGTGATGCCAAAGAACTAGTTCCCCATTAGGTCCTGTTTGCTGATGATGATTAACTGCAGGCAGTGGGTGGATTCCATAGCAAATAGCAAGCTGGCTATTAGACAGGTGCGATTCAAGTCCTTCCAAATGAAAAATTCGGCCGACTTTTCAGAAATTTGGACACATCCGAATCCCAATGCATCCGGATTTCCATTTCTGAATTAAGGATCCTGTCTGAATTTCACTCAAAAACGAAACTTAATTGGACATGTGACTTTTCTGGCCAATCAGATGTGTTTTTCGGTGAGCGTGAGGCGGGGGGGAGGTGTGGCATGTGGATGCGCGCGGGTCTGGCAGCGGTGAAAGTGAGGTGGGGAGGCGGCAAGGCGCGCAACGTGTGTGGAGCCGTGAACAGGGCCAACTAACCAGAAGCCGATTAATCGATGATTGAAAAAGTTGACAACTTTTTCAATAATCGATTATAATCGATTAGTTGTTGCAGCCCTAAACTCCACTGCACCAAAAACTCTGAAGCATGATGGAGGCCTAAACCCCCATTCACATTGGAGCGATATGAAGAGACTTTGATGCTCTACACCAGGGGTAGCCAAACCCCTGGCCCTCCAACTGTGGTGAAACTACAAATCTCATGATGCATCCCTTTCCGGGAGTCAAGTCTGTGGCTATGAGAATCTTGCAAAGCCTCATGGAATTTGTAGTTCCACCACAGCTGGAGGGCCGGAGTTTGGCTACCCCTGCTCTACACACTATTATTATTATTCTATTGTACCCGCTCATAGCACATTGCTCAGAAAAGCACAAGAGCTTCTTTGGGACATGACACATGTTCATGATATGCTACAGTGTGAACGGGGACTTAGGCTGCCTGTTATCTCATTATTATTTAAACATGTTCGGCCACACAGGGATAACGTAACTTTTAGGCTGAGCCCCCCAATGATTCGATGTGTGTACAGCCCTCCATATTCTCTGTAATAGAATCATCACCCCCATTTTCCCCAACAGCCAAACAGTGGTATGTATAATGACCCTCCCATGCCACAGTGACAGCTTCCCAGACACAATCAGGAGGTCACTTTCCTGCTTCATGTCATGTCAGGCTGATCCCTAGTGCAGGGGTCCCAGAATCAGGATCACAGTACTGAAAACCAGTATCGGAGCTCCAGTATCGGAGCTCCAGTATTGGGATTCCAGTATCAGGGTCCCAGTATTGGGATTCAAGTATTGAGCTCCCAGTGTCGGAGTCCCATTATTGGGATTCCAGTATCAGGGTCCCAGTATTGAGCTCCCAATATCGGAGTCCCAGTATTGAGCTCCCAATATCGGAGTCCCAGTATCAAGGTACCATTGGCAAAGTAACCGTCCCGGGCTCCCCGTCCTCTCCCGCAGCCTCCGCTGTCACTGTCTCCCGTAGACTGTCTAGGACTGAGCCGTCTCCCCCTCCCTTTACTACTCCGGTGACGGACACCCGGGCTGGCCAATGAGAAAGCTGGAATTTCCCTTGTCCCCGCCCCCTCTTTTCCCATGTCTGGGGGGCCGTGCCCTGCTCCCCTCCCTCTCTTTGTATCAAACATCCGGGTTTCCCTCCTGGCTCCTCTCCGCTCTCTCTTATTTAGAAGCCATTTTGGAGTGAGTTGAGAATTTTTGGGGTGTTCGGTAGAGATCAGACTGCACACTGACAGCAGAGTCCCCTCCGTCCAGTGACAGCCGAGCCTCCCCCCTCCCCGGATGTGTCACATTGAAGTTTGGGCTCCTGTGTGTCTCCCCTCCCACCCTCTCTAATCTGCCTGCTGCAGAAGGTGGAGTTGTTGGAGGGGGGTGGGGGGAGTCACTACTACTGCTGCTGCTGTTTGATCTGCCTGGACTCCACATTCACACACATTTCATTCCCACGGATCCAACATTACACGCCCCCCCCTTGCCCACGCGTGAGTGATCCCCGCACCGCCGGACTGGCACCACACTCGCTGCATGGAGCTGCTGCTGCTGCCAATGTGAAGGAATTATTTTCCATGGATTGTATGTGATCGTGTTGGATGGGCTGTGAGATCCCGGGAAGATGGGGGCTCTGACACTGACTTGTGCACTTCTTCTGGCAACTTTCTGTGCAGGTAAGATGCAGCTGAATGGGGGGGGCATTAGTGTCCCACCCCAGATACCTATCGCTCTTCCATGTGGATCCCAACTTTAACCTGCTCTGACAACTCCTCTGCCATTGTAATGCGATCCTTCCAGGGCCCCCCCCCCCCATTTCCCGGATCCTTTCCTGTAGGTGATCTGCAACTTTGTATCCTTCTCATCTCCTCTCTGATCTCTTCTTTGTATAGTGCACGTGTCTGGGATTTTCCTCCCTATGATTCCTCTAATCCACAGCACACGTGTAGCCTGGATCCAGCTCAGGACACTGCTGAAGAACCCCCCCCCGTGCTGGGTACCCCGATCTGCCACGGGTGTCATAGGCCAGCCGTGCCCTCTGCTGCTGGAGGCTTCCCATGCTCTCCGGGGCTGACTATTTTTATGAGATGAATCATTTTGGCTTTGATTTGTGACTGGTGGCGTGTAGTACATTGTAGTAAAAGAAGCCTTCCCCTCCCACAAACACACAACCCAAGTGCTATGGAGGGGGCTTCTGCTACAGCTTCCCATTGACTCACACATTGATCCCTGATCCCCAACATGCACCGGGCATCATGATACAGCTTCTCATGTACTCACACTACACATTGATCCCTGATTCCCCAACATGCACAGGGCATCATGATACAGCTTCCCATATACTCATACATTGATCCCTGATCCCCAACATGCACAGGGCATCATGGTAATGCTTCCCATGTACTCATACTAGCTATTGATCCCTGATCACCAGCATGCGCAGGGCATCATGATAAAGCTTACCATATACTCATACTACATATTGAGCCCTGATCACCAGCATGCGCAGGGCATCATGATAAAGCTTACCATATACTCATACTACGCATTGATCCTTGATCACCAGCATGCACAGGGCATCGTGTGTGTGTATATGTGTGTATATATAATTTTTATTTATTTAGAAAGGGAGATATATGCATGTCATATTCTGCATGCCAGTCAGTCCCCAGTCCGTGCAAATGTGCAGGGTTAAAGAAAGATCTGGAGACCAACCACATAAAACAATTTGCCAAGAATATTCCATGGAAAAGGCTGTCAAGCATATCAGACATGGTGCCCAGAGAACTGCCAAATAGAATGGCCAAGGATCGGATACAACTGAACTCTATCTATCATATACTGTATATTCTGTGTGTATATATCCCCGAGCAGTTTGTGCAGCATTGTCTGCTAGTCACCATGCCACCATACATGAGCTCATTGATGGGTGGCGTGCCCATCTGCAACACACGTGTCTCTTGAATGCCTTCATGAAACTGCTGTGCAGTGTATATATCCCATGCTGTATCATGTTTTCAGGGTCTCCAGTCGCTCCGGCTGACATTTGTAGCTGTGGAGCTTCGGCTGTCCTTATTAAACCTCACATAACCCCTGTAGTATACGGTTGTATTGTAGCGGTGCTGGAAACACGAGGAATCTGACTGCAAATAAAGGCTGTGAAAATGGCAGGGATTTGGTGGCGGTGGAGACACTGCACACAAGGCAAATTAGCGCACAAATAGCGCGTGTGTATGTGCAGCATAGAATGCGTGAGGTTGTATAGATTTGTGTGTACACATGCAAGGCATGAGCAGACTACCCCCTCCTCTCCAAAGTGGCTAATGCAATTTCTGCAGACCCTAGACTGGTCCAGGGCTGTGGAGGGGTGGGGGGATTGGCTTCCACCTTGTTAATGATGAATGGGGGGAAGGGGAGGCATAGTAGAATAGAAACTGATCGCTCCAGTGTTTGGCAAACAATCAGGAGCCTCTCTCTCCTTTTGAAGCTAACCATGTCCTTATGTGACAGGGGTTGGGTAGCCTTTCCTTCTTCACAAGGCTGCACGACAATGGCACAAGATGTCCCTGTGAATGAAGGTGGTAGGATAGGGACCAACTAAAAAATAAAGCCTTCTCTTGGCAGGGCATTCCTGGTATGCAAAATGTTAAAGATGCCAAATTGGTATATTCATATTTTGGTATTGGATGCACCGTCCTGTGTTTTCATATCATGTGCTTGTGTGCCTGGGCTGCCTGCTCATTATGTGCACTGTTGCTGTATGCCTGCCAGCCTGTGTGTATATGTTGAAGGGCATCTTGTGCCCACTCACGCCCCAAAATTTGTACGATTTTCAATATGTTGCTGCACGTACATGAGCTGGCCTCTTAGGGTGTGTGCTGGTGTTTTGCGTTTGAAGTGGGGGTGCTGTGTGGCTGTTTTTCCCTTTTTTTGGGGGGGGGATGTTTTTCTCTCCATTTTTGTTGTTTTGGAATGTGGCAGTCTAGCTGAAGTATATGGCGCAGCATGTTCCTTCCACCATCCCCGTACTGCCTCTCTCTCTGTTTTCTTTGTTCAGGGCTCTCATTAAAAATGCAGTGCCAGTGTTTATAACACACACAACCTGGCACTGTCGGGATTCTCATTTTCACGTTAAACCCCCAGGAGACGAGGCAGCTGAACAAATGTAACGGAGACACAACAGGCAATATTTTGCTTCCATTTATCATCCTCTGTTTTAGCAGCCAGCACTGGTTTAAAGTTTTCCAAGGAAACGTGCGGACGATACTAGACATGTTTAGTCTTGCATGCTTGCTCACACAGAATAATGATCAAGATTGGTGGAAAAAATGTAGCATTTATTTATTTTTGTATTGTTGGATGGGAATTGGGTGTCCAATGTATAGGAGATCTGAGATGCGTGGATAATAAACCGTTTTTTGTTTTGTTTTGAAGTGTTGCTGTAATGGCATGGTGGTTGAATGCAGAAATTTCTACCTTTTTGTGTTCTCTTCACTGAGTAGGAGGGACAGGCGAAGTTGCACGATAGAGCTTTGTATTGGCGATGAATTACACATTTGCCTTCTGTGGTTCTATTCAAGCTTCTTGACATTGCTGTAAATTGGTTTTCCACTGTGAATCCCGCTAGTCTTCTCTGCGGGGTTTTCAAACTTCAGAAGTGACATAATCTGATTGCAGACCCTCTCAAGGACACATGTGTAGTTGTCACGTATAACTGCTAAGGCAGACTGCATGACTCGTGGAGTAGAACTGGACAATGTTCCCCTTCCACAGGTCACGTATTTTGAAGGATGGCAGTATAAAAAAAAATACATCAGCTTCTTAAGCTTACGAGTGTGTGGAGTAGGCAGGGAAGGTGATTCCTAACAAAGGGTCTTGCAGAAATGTTTTAGGATTGATATACTCTTCCTTGCTTTATATACCATACAACAGGGATAGCTGAAATTCGGCCCTCCAGCTGTCGTGGTACTACAAGTCCTATAAGATATTGCAAGACTTTGACAGCCATTGGCATGACTTCAAGAGGCAGATATATGAGGAGATTTACAGTTTCACCACAGCTGGGGCAACCGAAGTGTGGTGACCCCTGGCACAGAAACTAAGACATACCAGCAACTCAAATACAAAGAAAACGTCTTCTCGTGGGGTTGTACTATAGCTTTCCGTGGGTCTGGTAAAGTTTTGTAAACTAGATGTGCAGTGTCTACCAGGGTTGGACAAATCCCAGGGGCCAGGTAGCCAATGCTCGTAAAAATTACAGCTAGCGCCTAACATTTGAGGTTGCTATAGTAGTTGTCAATGGAGCTGGCTCCTGGATTGAACAGACTGGCTCCTGAATTTCATTATAATTTGTCCACTTTTGGCATCAACCCTGAAAGTGTCTTTTTAAGGTTTTATTACTAATAAATATTTAGTAAACTTAATGGTGATATGACCATCATTGTGTTGAAACCACGCACCACTGGAAACACTGCCGTCAAGCTCAGAATTGCATGGCCAAATCCTATTTATTCCAGTAGAAAGGTTGTTGATTGTTGGGTAACATGAAAGACTGCCTTGGAATGAATCAAAGGGATTTTGTGTGTAAATGGTCCGAAGACTTTGGGAAGGAAACAGCACAGCCCCCTCTCTCCTTGTTCATTATAGCCCTTACCTCTTCTGGGAGTGTCTAATTCCTTTCTGTGCTGGCCCATCTCCTCTGCTGCCCCCCCCCCCCCCCCCCCCACCACCTCCCTACATACTGTAATCTTTTATGTAGCAGCCAGGGGAGGAGTGAAGGGGAAGCTTACATTTGAGTAACCACTTTTAGTCTGCTAGGGCTGCTGACAACACTACCAAGATGGTGGCACGCAGCAGAAGTCTCTGGGCTTTTAAATGTCTACACAAGGAGCGGTTGTTTACAAGAATGGTAAATGACAAGCCTAACATATGTTATTTGCACATGTAATCTCAGGGAAAGGTTGTTGAAATAAATGGTCTGGCGATAGGGTCTCTTGGCATGGCAGGCATAGACAACAAATGATTACTTATGCCTTTAGAAAGCTTTTGTTTGGATCGGAGGTCTTCCTTAATCGCTACCTGTAAGGGTGTGAGCGCAATGGCTCCCTAGTTTGAGGACCATTGCCTATTTCATATGATTTAGATCACCTTCTAATGCACAGGTAGACATCCTGTAGGTTAAAACCAAAACATTGTTCCCTCCCATTGTTTGTTTTTCCACCCGAGTGTAGATATTCTATAAGTGAATGCAGGTGTAGCGGCAGATATTTAAGATAGAGTAAACAATGTGATATGGGGGACTATAAGTATGCCAACATGTATTGATTATACGCTATATCTGTATGTTTTAGAACAGGTTTTAGCTTTCATCATTCAGTATGAATTATCATTACTCAGTAACCAGAAATAGCAAGCGTTGAGATCAGCGATCTGTTGTATTTTAGGTAATAGACACGTTTGTCTATTATTAGCAGGCAGCTTTTATTGGGCTTCATTTTTTTGTGAAAGCAGTGGAGCAACAGGGCTGTGAATCATTCTATTTACACACACTTGGATTGTGGAGGCTGCTGATGTCACAGTCTGGCTCACGTGCATCCTCCAAGCCCAGCAATAACAAGAGATGAAGTGTTTTTAATATCGCTAACCACAGAGCATGCTTTGGTGCTATACTGTAAAC